TGTGGGTGTATGGCTGTGCACGCTTGTCTGCCTGCCCATGTCTGTGATATATTTAAACATAGGTGAGTCAAGGCCGCGTGTGCGGAGTGGTGGCAGTTTCCCGTGCCTTTGGCAACGCCAACTTCAAGACACGCCGCGAACAGTAGGCTCATGGCCCTCAAACGCAGTTTCAGTTTCAGCATCCCTTGTTGAATTGAAGCTAGTGTCTATGCCGGGAGGTTCTGGAGTCTGGATCATGCAACCCCCCAGCCATCCTAGGATGATCCCACTGGCAGGCACCACCCCTGTTGACATATTCCATCTCTCCACTCCACTCACCATGTGTCATCATTGCCCCTCATTAACACCACCCCATCCCGCCACCCTGTGGGCTGCAGGATGTTATCAGAGGGCGTGAAGAAGGGGCGTTGGACAACCCGCTTTGTTTCCAAGTAAGTGCCACTTACCCCGAGTCAACTCAAAAGCAGGTATGTGCCATTTTCTCTGACTTTGAATCGACTCAAAAGCAAGTAAGTGCCAGTTACTCTGCGTAATTTCCCTTGTGCCTTCAGAAAGCTTGTGCTGCTTGGAGCTCCAGCCGCTTTGCTGATGGAGCTCCATCCACCATAACACCCTCCTCGCCATGCCCTCCCATCTCAGGCGCTCATTTCAAAGTGATTGGATCTCTGCAGTCCCGGACGTGTACGCTGCTGAGCTGGCTTTTTCAGTAGACTTGAAAGTCATCTCTCCCCACTATTGCACACTCACTGTGGTTCCCTCTCAGGCGCTCGTTTCAGAGCGATTGGATCTCTGCAGTCCCGGACGTGTATGCTGCTGAGCTGGCAGATGATGCGGAGTTTGTTATTATTGCGTCAGACGGGCTCTGGGAGGGCGTGAAAAGGTAGGGCCCTTTGACAAGACCCTCTGCTGGCGCCCTCACATGATGCCATGCTTTTTCCATGCTTTCTTGGGGCTGGTTTCCTTGCTTTTTTGATAGGGAAGGCTAAGGCTCTTTGACCTGGTCTGGTTTGGTTTGCTGCTACAGCTCGGAAGCTGTTGCGTTTGTTCGGAAGGAGCTGGAAAGCCATGGTGACATTCAACAAGCAACAGACAACCTAGCCAGTTTTGCCCTCGAGGTACTTGAAACACTCCTATTATTTTGCAGTGCACTCCCATTGCATACCCACATGTGTTTGAGATATCATCCTCATGCTTGGTGCCCTTCTGCAGGATCGAAAAGGAGAGGATAACATCAGCATCGTCATTATTGGCTTGAAATAAAACATCTCATTGTTTAGGTTGGAGGAAAAGGCTGCTGGATTGTCTATGCTTTGAAAAGCATTCATTCGCTGTACAAAAATAATTGCATTGCCATGAAGACAAGAATGCAATGGGTCAAAGATCCCCCAAATTTGAAGTGGCGGAAACACCCCATGACGCGTACATGCCGAAGGGGAAAGAATGCGGCGTGGTTCGTGATTTTCAGGGGCTTTCATCTTCTCCCATTTCGTTACCCGGTTCGCAGCCAATGGAATCTAATGAGCTCTTCGTACAGAAACCCGTAGATGTGCACTTTGGTGGTCGTGTTCGTGTATCAGTTCCTTGTTCGTGCTCGTGTTCATTGAGATTTTACTTTTACCTGATCATATCGATGCATCGCAGTTCTCGTAGGATACTCACCCTACCCAAATTAGTTTCGTCCACGATCCGGGAGGGACTCAATCTGCTGGTTATTTCGTGTAGGCTCCGTAAGGCACGCTTACGGATCACAGGCTTTTCGTGGTTGAACGTCCGAATTGCATGATTCGTGATCAGCTTTATTGTGCGTTACACAACTTCGTCGAGACGCACTGACAAGGGGCTCCCGATATTCAACACGTACAAAGGGCTGCACAAGGGCTGAAACGTGAACGATAACAGAATTCGGGATGCAATTCCGGCAATCCGAGGGCCAAACATGACGTTTTAGATCAGAACGTCTAACGAGAGGCTGAACGAAGCGCTACGGATCCCAGCGGCAAGAGAATTTGACAGCTAACGGAAGCGCCTGGAAGAGAGCGCCTGGAAGCAGGACAGGGGCCGCAGCGCAACTGACGGAGGACTGGGCGCGGACTTGGGGGGAGCTGGGAGGGGGGCGACGGGTGGAGAATGGCCGGCAAGGCAAGTTCCGCGAAGCTGCGTGAGGCGTTTAAGTATTGCGTGGACCAAGTCAGGTGCGTGCGTGGATCGTGAAGGGTTTGAAGGGTGAATGGTTCATGAGGCATGACACACATGCTCATCCATGATGCATGCATGCTACATGGTTTGAAGGGGGAATGGTCCATGAGGCATGACACACATGCTCATCCATGATGTATGCATGCTACATGGTGGAGGCTCGATGGTGATTGTTGAGTGCCGGAGGGAGGGGGCATGAGGCATGACACACATGCTCATCCATGATGCGTGCTGATGCATGACACACACGGCAGCATGGCTATCCCGTTCAAGTCATCATCCATCCATTACCACCCGCAACATGGCAGGAGGCATGACTCGGAACACTACCCTGGAGCCACCCAATTCCATAGCACAGCACCATGTGTCGCATACATTCCAGCACAGCACAGACCCACCCAATTCCATAGCACCCTACCATGTGTGGTACATTCTATACCACCCATCTTTACTCGCAACATGGCAGGAGGCATGACTCGGAGCACTACATCGGAGCGTTGTACATGCCAGCACAGCACAGGCCCACCCAATTCGCGCTCAGAGCATTCAATGTGGAGACCTCCCTGGTAAGACCTGCGCCACCCTCTTATGTGAATTTTACTTTTGAGAATTCTCAAAAGTAAGATCCATTCAGAGCATTCAATGTGGAGGCCTCCCTGGTATGTCCTGCCACCCTCCTGCGCCACCCTCTTGCTGCACTGCCCCATTGCCCCACTCTCCCGCTGCCCCCGTCAACTCTGTTTTCCTCTCGACTCTCTTTCGTCCCACAGCTCTTCTCCTTCTCAACGCCACAGATCCCTGAAAGGGCACGGGAGCAGCGCCTTGTGCCTTAACACTGCACGCCTTTTCCTCTCTTTCCTTCCACTGCTCTTCTCCTTCTCAACGCCACAGATCCCTGACAGGGCGCGGGAGCAGCGCCTTGCCATCATTCGCCTCGCCTGGTGGAGAGACGCCCTCACCCGCCTCTTCCAGGTAACTTCCCCCCGCCCTCCTCCTCCCCCAGCTTCCGCCCAAGACACGTTTGAGAATTCTAAAAAATGATATCAATCCAGCCCGAACCTGCAGTCTCTTCCTAAACGAAACCCTACGTGCATGGCACGCACAGGCCCAGCCCCCTGTGCGACTTTCGAGTCGTCCAGTGTTACGTTTTTCGGCTTTTGAGGCGCCGTTAATCCGCATTTTCCTTTTGAACATGCCCAATGTTGCCAGGGCCAGCCCCCCGAGGACCATCCAGTGCTGGTGGCGCTGGGGGCAGTGCGGGAGGTGACGGGCATCACCAAGCCATGGCTGATGCGCGTCATTGCTGCGCGGGTGGGTGGGAGATGGGTGACTGGGTGTGGAGGGGGGAGGGGAGGGTGTGGGGGAGGGTGCATTCCCTGCTCGGTGAAATGTTCTGGCTCGCTCTCATCTCCCACCTCTCATCTCCCACCTCTCATCTCCCACCTCTCATCTCCCACCTCTCATCTCCCACCTCTCATCTCCCACCTCTCTCTCTTTCTCATCGCTTTCTCTCCTTGTGCCTGCCGTTGACCTTACTGTCCCTCTGTGCCTGACGTCATTGACCATCATTGACCACCGTTGACCACCGTTGACCATTGTTGACCACCATTACCCATCATTACGCATCATTACCCATCATTACCCATCATTACCCATCACTACGACCCATCCCATTGCATCAGATCGAGGACTTAGAGCGGTCGGCCTTCCCACCCAACACGATAGCCGATGTGGAACAGTGAGTGCCACCGCATTGTTGTGTCGGTGGGCGCAAGAATCAGCTTGGAACAGTGAGCGTCACGTTGTCTTGGTTGACTCACAGATCAAGGAACAGTGAGTGCCACCTTGTCGTGTTGAGTGTGTGTTTATCATGTGTGCATACCTGCCTGCCTGCACGCATGCATGGAAGTGCAGGTACGCGGAGTCAACGTCCTCGGCGCTGCTCTACCTCTCCCTGCAGGCTGCTGGCATCCACAGCGTGCATGCCGACCATGCTGCCTCCCACATTGGTAACCATGATGATAACCACATTGTAACCACAGTGGTAACCGCATTGGTGATCACATCGGTAGGATCAGTTTTGCTAATGCAGACTGCAGGCTGCTGGCATCCACAGTGTGCACGCTGACCATGCTGCGTCCCACATTGGTAACCACAATGGTAACTTCTTTGTTACTCACGTTGGTAACCACATTGGTAACCACATTGCTGTTGCGGCCCACCTCGGTGCTCCTCCTCTCCCACCCAGGCAAGGCGGAGGGCATGGCTCTTCTGCTGCGGGGTGCATCGTACCATGCCGCACAGAGGCGCTCCCACATTCCTCTAGATGTCGCAGCAAAGGTGCGTTTCTGTGATGACTAGGCGTGGGGCATGGCATTGCTCTTCTGCTGCGCGGCGCATCGTACCACGCTGCACAGAGGCGCTCCCACGTTCCGCTAGATGTCGCAGCTAAGGTACAGTGCATATTCACTGCATTTATGTCTGTTGATTCACTTTATCCAATTTCTCTCCAAACTTCACATACACTTTATTGCTGTTCACCTTTTCATTTACTGCCTCCTAGTTAGCTTGCTAACCCAATTATCTTACCACCAGCATGGGTTGGTGCATGAGGAGCTGTTCCGCGGGAGGCAGCCGCCCAGCTTGTACGATGTGGCATGCATAGCACAACCTCCTGCCTTTTTCCCCTAATCCAATTATCGTACCACCAGCATGGGTTGGTGCACGAGGAGCTGTTTCGCGGGAGGCAGCCGCCCAGCTTCAGGGAGTGTGTGTATGACGTGGCGTGTGTGGCGCAAGCACATATGCAAAAGGCCAAGGCCTTGCAGTCCTCCTTGCCTCCCGTAGCTCGACAACTGCTCTTGCCATCAGCCGTAAGTTCTACCACCAATGACTCTTGTTCTCGAAATACTTAAGATGTATATGGAAACTGACAAAGCATTAAGGTGTTGTTTTGCAGGTGGGTGCAAATCTTTTTCTTCACAACCTGCAGCGGCACCACTTCGATGCAATGGACCCTTCGCTTCTCCGAGGAGTGTGGGGAGTGTCTCCTCTATGGCTGCACTCAAATTTGTTATGGAAATCACTACGGCAATCTGCCTTCTAGCTTGAGTTTGCATGTACGAGAATATTATATGCATTTTCAGCTGTGAGCTGTAAGAGTGTTTTCCTTCATATTTCCCCCCACTAACCAAACATGTTTGTTCACCAATGGGCGTTCCACCCATGTAGCCGTTCCACCAATAATCGGGCTACACGTAAGCATCGAAATGACTCTTACTGTATTCGTTTCGAAATTGAAATTTCACTGCCTGTCTGACACCACACACGTACCCTTTGGAGTCGCGCGCTTGGCCAATTTGAATTCCCGAGTCCGACCCGCTCGAATCGACAATTCCTGTCTGCTCCGTTTCAGCAGAATCGCGCGATTCTACATCCAACTTAGCCCATCTCAACCAAGCTAGGCCCAACCTCACCCTACCAAAAACAACCGGACCTATAATAATCTCGCAGAATACCACCTGTCTTTGGCAGTGTGTTCAGCCCGTTGCGCTGATATTTTAGTTATCGCCAAATACACCGACTGTCGGAAGCAAGTTGGGGCTTTCCAGCTTGTGTCACGACTTTCCCGTTGCATATTCTGGAGGAATAAATATAGAGTAGTAAATATACTCCACTAAGTCTTCGCCTGGCTTTTGCGCCAACACTCCGTTGGCTAGTCTCCATACGAACTGCTCCCACCCGGCTACCTCCACCTCCGCCAACATTCCACGCGTTTTGACGCCACCTCCTGCTGCCGATTCAGTGATAGCTTCCAGTACGGCCGCCTTCAGGCTCTTGTGTTTCACTTCCGCTAGGTCAGTACGATGGGGTTGCGGAAGAAACCCGCTAGAGGAGCTTCGCTTTCCCGAATGGAGTACCTATCGCTGCTTCTCCTCTTTGTCGCGATAGTCGCAACCCCGACAAACGCACTCCGCAAACCCCGCCGCCTCATGCGGGGCCTGCAAGCCATTCGAGCCGCGCTTCCCCTTGAATTTACGGCCACCATGGCATCCGATCCCGCGACGGTCGGGGTGACGACGTGGCGCCCTGCGATTCGCCGGTTGATCACAGCGATTGGATTAGCGTCGGCCAAGTCACCCGCAGTTCCCAAGCAGAACACCGGCGCTAACGTGGCAATCGGCGGCGAAAACCCAACGGTCGCCCAGAAGCAGGACGTTGCGAAGCAGGAGAGCGCGGCGCCGAACCTCCAACGGTCACCGCCCAACACGGTCACCTCGGAACTCCAGAATAAGAGCTCCAAAGACAACTCGCACGAGAGCTCCGTTGGAAACAGCAATGACCACGAGAAAAGCGGCGGCGGCGGCGGCGGCGGGTGCTCTGGTAGCAGCGACTTGGATTTTGATTTGGCGCCTCCCTCGCTCGCCTCCCCGTGCCTGCACCTTTCTGGGGGCGATCCCCCTCGTGCCGATCGTCGCTCCAGCCGCCTGTCGTCGCTCCCCGTCGCATGCCCCGCGCGCCCCGCCATGTGCGACTTCTTCTTTGACGGCTTGACGGACGAGTTGCCGGTCATCCGTTTGTCCGCCGAGTCTTTTTTCGCCGGCCGGCCGATTCCTATCGGTCCGTCTCCCGTGGTCGCCATGGCTGGCGGGACCTTCGTGGATGTTTCGCGCGTGGAGGGGAACTACTCCCGCGCCGTGTGTCTGGACAAACCAGCGGAAGAGCCGGCGCCAGTCACGGCGACGGGGCAGGGGAAAAACACGGACGTTTCGAAGAAGCTTCTCCAGGACCAGCTGATTCTTCCAGAAAGGTTGTTTCAGCTGCGCGGAAGCGGAGAACTGATGTACAACGGTGCTGACGTGGCGGACTGGGACGACGACGACACGTGGCTAGCGGCGGCTAAAAGCCCCGATGGCGTTACCGTAAGCGTGCAAATCGACGAAGCTACAGTGAACCTGTTCGGTGTCAATATCGAGCTTAACAATACCGAGGATGGATCCGCCACGTCGGAGAACCGCGAAGTTCCTGGCGCCGAGGCGCAAATGGCTCTACTCGAGGCATCCTCGTTATTGACAGACCCATCGTCTTTCATGAACCAAGCAGCCCCGCCGTCAGCCTCGCCACCATCACAAGCAGCAGCAGCAGCAGCAAAGGCGGCGGCGGCGGCGGCAGCACAGAACGGGATTGCCCACAAGAAGCTGTTGGAAATGCCTGAGCGAGAGGCGGTTTCCGCCAGGCGACTGGCAGAGGGAGAGAGCGCAACCGCGGGGGACGCGGCGACACAGTGGCAAGAGATGATGCTGAATGCTGGAGTCGCGTCAATCCCTGAGGCAGGGCGCCTGGCCCTTCCCCTGGTGGCGACTATTGTGATGCCAGAGGATAGGGACTCCAGTTCTGCTGCTTCTGGCTTGCGCGGTAGTGCTGGTGCTCGTGATGGTGATGCTTCTGGCGCGGGTGCCGGTGATGGGAGAGACGCGGGGAGTGTGGAATCGGAGGAGAAGCGCAACTGGCTGAACCAGCCAACAACCAGCGGTGCTGTGGAGGGGGTGAGTGAGAAGGGCTCAGGGAGCGGCAGCGCCAAGGGTGCTGGTGCTGCTGGTGATGCTTCTGGCAAGAGCAGTGATGGCAAGAGCAACAAGGTTGCAGACGAGGTTACGGAGGTTCCAGAACAGCACCATGACTCTGAGGCAAACAGCCGCTTCTACTTCCCTTTGCACCGCCGGTGCATTTTGTTCCGAGTCAAGCTTGTTTGACATGACGTTGGGGTAGGCTTTTGGTAGTATCAGATGGGGTAAATGGTGTCTCTCGCACCTATTAGGCAGAGCTCACAAATCAGCGTTGTGCTGTGGTTTCCAAATGATGATTAATGATTTTCGACTTCATGAAATGTGTACACCTCACTTGCGATGGACCTAATCGGGCTGCTGGTGATGTACATGGTAGTAAAGGGTTTCCTGGCGATTAAGGCAAGGTCCTAACATAGGGGTCCATGGTTCAAGGCTGGAGGAGTAACACTCCAAGGCTAGTCTATAGTGCCAGCTGCTCCTACTTCCCCATGGACTGTGATTAGGACTGGGTCATGGTGTCTGTTACACCTAATACTGCTGAAAATTTCATGTGGTGGTGTCCAAACTGTTATCAGCATAATTCACATTGCAAACCTGTGTTTGACTTGTGGCTATGCCAAATTGTTTTCCCTATTCAGTTGAAGATACAAAACCACCCAGATTTTGAAGCACCGATATTTCATACTGCGAAGTCACAAACGCGTACGCTGAACCCTTGTGAACCCGAAACCTGGGGAACTCCAGAACCTCCGTGCACTCCCTAGTAGACGTATTTACTCCCCAGCGATCGCTAACATCTAGGAGCGAAAATAGGTTGCTTCTGACGCTCAGGATAATAGGCGTTTAACCTACCTGTCAGAAGTTAGCGTCCTGTCGTAAGGTTTGCAGAGACCCCATTTGACTCCTAACTTGTGACTACCTTGCTGGTTATTGTCTGGCTTTACAATGAAGATTAAGGTGCTGTCGCGATCGGAAGTGCAGTTCACGCGCGAGCGAAAGCAAGATGTGCAAGTAAGTCTCGATATAAGATGTTTCGTTCACGGATTCTAATGAGCAAGCCAGGAATGCAAGGAGCAACGGACATGGTCAAAACTGGCGCATACAGGCGGAGGAGAACATCCATAATCCGCGATACAAGCCCGGGTAGATTAACGAAACATCATACCAGAAATGTCCCTTATCTCACTGTTCTGTTTTGCACCCCACTCTCCGAGAGCGCATTGCGATTCGTACCCATGCTACAGCCGTTCATAATGAGTCGATTTTTTGAGTGGACTCAAATATCGACTCTCCGAGAGCGCGTTGCGATTCGTACCCGTGCTACAGTCGATCTTAAAGGCTGAGGGCTGTCAACGAGGTTTGAGGCGTCTCAGAAGCGCGCGTCGCAATCCGTACCCACGTGACAACCGTGATAGTAGGCCGACGAGTGACTGCGCGTACTGAACGGCAGTATCCCCCCCAAAAGTCAACTTTTCTCTCTGCTCACGCTCTTTTCCCCGTGTTGAGAATGTACAAAGGAATCTCGGCCCAGCGCTGCACCTCCTGGAGAAGGGGAAGGAATATCAGCGCGCGCTCAACGCCGTGAAGCCAAGCCTCACCACTAACCCCCTCAAACCCCCCCCCCCCCCCCCCCCCCCCCCCCCCCCCAACCCTTCCCACAACTTCCCCACCTCCTCCCCACTAGAAAGTGCACAGGAATCTCGACCCAGCCTTACACCCTCTCGAGAAGGCGAAGGAGTATCAACGCGCGCTCAACGCCGTGAAGCTAGACAAGGTGTTTGCCAAGCCGTTCATGGGCGCTCTTGGTAGCCACGCGGACGGCGTCTCCGCCATGGCGAGGAGCCCCGTCAGACTCAACTGCGTTGTTTCCGCCTCCATGGACGGAGGTCAGTAGTTAGCAACTCCACACTGAATTGAATATTGTACCCAGAACCTCCAGCCATAAACCGTGCGCCCTTTTTGTGTGTGTGCCCTTTCATCTGCGCAGTAGGCCTGCCCTGAACCCTGCTAGTGGTGTGCTTATTAGCAACACTAATGTGTTCCTCCCCCCCTTCTCCTCCCTTACCTCCCCCCTCTCTCCCCCCCTCCCTCTCCCCTCTCTTCCCCCCCCTCTCCTCCCCCCACTTCTTCATCGTTTCTTACGTCACATGTGGCCTGCTCCTCAGATGTGCGTTTATGGGACGTCCCTTACAAGTGAGTTGTGTCCTCTGCACCTACACATAGCTCGCCCAGTTCATGTTTCACACGTGACCATGACTCGCTCTTTGATGCACCTAAAATTTTGTTCCGTACACCCACCCACACATGGTAGGCACCTTTTTTCAGTTCATTCCGGGGCCTCGTTGTATCTGTATATCGTCCCTCCCCACCCAACGCACCTTCCTTCTCCATCTGCCTCGGTGCGATTCAACGTTTCTCCCTTCTCCAGGCGCACGCTGTGCCGGTTTGTTGGGCACAGCAGGGCAGTGAGGGGCGTGGCGATCTCGTCAGACGGGGAGACAATGCTGTCCTGTGGTGATGACTGCACGTGAGTGTGACTGGATGGTGTGTGGAGAGATAATTTCAATTCATGAGTTCAATAGTGTGAAATAAAGAGCCGTGCATGTGTGAGTGTCGGGCACACAAGTGTTGTGAGGGGCGTGACCATATCAGCGGATGGAGAGACCATACTGTCCTGCAGCAATGACTGCACGTGAGTGTGACCACCTGTAGGGAGGGAAGAGATTATGAGGAATTGCAGCGTGTGGTGGCAATGCACTTGTTTCTGCGTGTGGATAGCAAGAAAGAGTGTAGCACCTCGTTCTCTCCCTGTTGTATGTCTGTCTGCATGCTGCTGCCACTCTGCCTCCTCGCCATCTCCCCGCATCCTTCACACGCGGAGTTGGGGGCGCCTCTGTTTCCTTCCCACCAAGTTCCCTCCCATCTCTTTTCCCCTTCCCCCAACAGCGTGCGCCTGTGGCAGCTACCAGCACCGGAGATCAAGGAGTTGGGGGTGGCAGGGGGGGACGAGGAGCACGAAGCTGTTGCCACCTTCCAAGGGAAAAACGCCTTCAGGTGAATTTTCTGGTGTCTGCCATGGCATGAGCACAGGTGGACGTGTGACATTCGACAAGTGCACATTCCACATTCCACATTCCACATTCGACTTAGTGTGCACATTCCACATTTCACGCTTCACTTGCTTGTATCGTTGCACATACCCCTCCTGGTGTGCAGAGCAGTGGACCACAAGTGGAAGGAGCGAGTGTTCGCGACAACAGCAGGAGCGCAGGTGGATGTGGAAGCACAGCTGCTCGGAGCCCATAGCCATTCTCTTCTCTCATTCCCCTCTTTCCCCTTGCACGTGTGATGCCCGCTCACAGAGCAGTGGACCACAAGTGGAAAGGGAGGGTGTTTGCAACAGCAGGAGCGCAGGTGGACGTGTGGGAGCACAGTCGCTCGAACCCCACAGCCATCCTCTTCCCTCTGTCCCCTTTGTCACCTTGCATGTATACCGTCCCCGCAGAGCAGTGGACCATAAGTGGAAACGGAGTGTGTTTGCCACAGCAGGCGCGCAGGTGGACGTGTGGGAGCACAGCCGCTCGGACCCCATAGCCATTCTCTCCCCTCTGTCCCCTTGCACGTGTGATGTCCGCTCACAGAGCAGTGGACCACAAGTGGAAGTGGCGGGTGTTTGCCACAGCAGGAGCGCAGGTGGACGTGTGGGAGCACAGCCGCTCCAAGCCATCCCCATTCTCTCCCTTCTTTCTCCTCTTGCCCCGTGCACATGTGATGTGCTCCTTACAGAGCAGTGGACCATAAATGGAAGGGGCGGGTGTTTGCCACAGCAGGCGCGCAGGTGGACGTGTGGGAGCACAGCCGCTCGGACCCCATAGCCACGTTCACATGGGGCGCTGACTCCGTCTACTCCGTTCGCTTCAACCCTGCCGAGCCTGATGTGTTTGCTACCACCGGCAGGTGAGAGGGAGGGAATGGGGGTGTGGGGGTGTGAGGGTGGGGAGAGCCTGCTACTCTCTTTATGCTCGGACCCATAGCCACGTTCACATGGGGTGGCTGACTCGGTTGACTCTGTTCGCTTCAACCCCGCTGAGCCTGATGTGTTTGCTACCACCGGCAGGTGAGGGCAAGGGAATGGGTGTATGGGGGTGGGGAGAGCCTGCTACTCTCTTTACACTCGGACCCCATAGCCACCACTGGCAGGTGAGGGGGGGGGTAGTGTGGGTTGAGGAGAATCCACTTTTGGGAGGAGGTGAGAGGAGGACGTTTGTCAAGTCAGGAGAGGTGCAGACGAGCATTCTTGGAACGAGGGAAGGGGGCAGTGGAGAGTGACAAGTTGGTTTTGCAGACAGTGGAGGGTTCTGCGGAGAGTGGGGAGGGGACAGCCATGGCGAAGGCCCATTACGATGTGTGGACAGCCATGGCGAAGGCCCATTACGATGTGTGGACAGCCATGGCGAAGGCCCATTACGATGTGTGGACAGCCATGGCGAAGGCCCATTACGATGTGTGGACAGCCATGGCGAAGGCCCATTACGATGTGTGGACAGCCATGGCGAAGGCCCATTACGATGTGTGGACAGCCATGGCGAAGGCCCATTACGATGTGTGGACAGCCATGGCGAAGGCCCATTACGATGTGTGGACAGCCATGGCGAAGGCCCATTACGATGTGTGGACAGCCATGGCGAAGCGCCCATTACGATGTGTGGACAGCCATGGCGAAGGCCCATTACGATGTGTGGACAGCCATGGCGAAGGCCCATTACGATGTGTGGACAGCCCGACTCGATGATGTGTGCGACAGCAGGGCAGGGCCGGCACATCATCGATTCGGGCTGTCCACACATCGTAATTCAAGAGAGAGTGGTGGTCAGCAGGGCAGGGCCGGCCCGACTTCATTCGGCCGGCCCTGCCCTGCTGACCACCACTCTCTCTTGAATTTTCTCGTCCCTTTTTTTTGCTTTCTTTCTCCTTTCCTTGTTCTCTGTGCCACCCACTTGTGATCATGAGTCGCCTTCCTTTTCCCTCCTCTGCTCCCTATGCCCCCCTCTGCTGTCCACCAGTGATCGCAGCATTTGCCTCTATGACCTCCGCATGTCCACACCGCTGAGAAAAGTGATCATGCAGGTGAGGCAAGGGAGGCTGTATGTGGGTGAGAGGCGGGGAGAGTGCTTACTAGTGGGAAGGGAAGGTCCGGGGAAGATTGGTGGCCGAGTATTGCGGTGCGGGGTGGGGGTCGTAGATTGTCCCATAGTATTTCCTCCCTTAGTTGCATCCATGTGTAAAGTCCTCTCTCCGTGGGTCAAGTCCAATTTTCTTCTCAACAAAGTCGACTTGCTGACTCTTCTCCCTTCCCCCTATCCCCTACTCCCCCCCTCCGTTCACCTTGCCTCCCCCCCACCATACATACAAATGTGTCTCACTAATGTTCTGCTCCCCATTTCCCCTCTTTCCCCCCCGCATTCCTTCCCCATACTCCTCCTCTTCCCCTACATTACCTCCCGTATTCCTCTCCTCGCCCCCCGCGTTCCCTCACCTGTTCCCCTCCTCCTCCCCCACATTCCCTCCCCTATTTCCCTCCTCCCCGCATTTTCCTTCCCCATTCCCCTCTTCCTCTCCCGCATTCCCTCCCCATTCCCCTCCCTCATTCCGTAGACCAAGACCAACTCGCTGGCTTGGAATCCTCGAGAGCCTCTCAACTTCACTGCGGTGAGTCATGGTATAGGGGGGTGATGTGTGGTGGGGAGGTGATGCATGGTGCGTGGGGTGTACGGTTTGATGATGTTCGCACTCTTCAGACCAAGACCAACTCGCTGGCGTGGAATCCTCACGAGCCTCTCAACTTCACTGCGGTGAGTGTTGTGTGTTGGGGGTTTGGGGGTTGGGAGTTGGGGATGGGTGTTATGGGGTGGGCGGTGATGGGTGTTGAATTGGTGGTGGGGATGGGTGGTTTTGGGGAGGGGTGTTGGGTTTAATGCGAAATATGCAAAGCAAGTGCACGTGCATTCCAGTGTGAGGGTGTGAGAGAACGTGCATTTGCCATCCTCTGCATCCCTGTGCCCCAACACCCTGTTAACTTGTAACTTCCGCCCAGCAAACAGCCACTTTTCTCACCATATGCACCCTCACACTCCTAACGCCCGTTTTTACAATCCCTCACACACTTGTACTCAGATCAAACACACCTGTCCTAAGTGGCAATCTTTCTATTGCCGGCCAAGGCCCACGGTACGCAACACCTCTGGCAGGCGAATGAGAACAGCAGCTGCTACTCACACACATGCGCACGTAACATACTCACACACAACCATTCTCATGTGTTCTTTCTGCCAATCTTTGTGCTTGCTCTCACTATCCCCCACTGCACTACCCCTCGCAGGGGAATGAGAATGGCTGCTGCTACTCCCACATGCGCAACCTCAGCACTCGGCATACTCACACACAACCATTCTCACGTGTTTTTTTTCTGCCGATCGTGCTGGCTCTCACTGTCCGCCACTTCTCCACCCCTGGCAGGGGAATGAGAACGGCTGCTGCTACTCATACGACATGCGCAAACTCAGCACCGCCTCATTCATGCACAAGGACCATGTCTCTGCTGTGTGAGTGGCATGGGGCGTGGGGCACGGGGCGTGGAGCGTGGGGCGTGGGGCATGGGGCGTGGGGCGTGGGGCATGGGGCATGGGGCATGGGGCATGGGGCATAAGTGTGTGCATCCAGCTGTGTCCTCCTCAGCACTGCCTCACTCGTGCACAAGGACCATGTCTCCGCTGTGTGAGTGGCTATCTGTTGAATGGGGGGGCGTGACATGATTACGTGTAAGTAAGAATCTGCAAGCAACCTCAGCACTGCCTCACTCGTGCACTAGGACCATGTCTCCGCTGTGTGAGTGGCTTTCTGGGGATTGGGGGGGCGACAGGGCATGACATGAGTACATGTCATGAGTGTAAGTAACAATCTGCAAGCAACCTCAGCACGGGGGTGAGTGGTAGCACGGGGGTGAGTGGTGGCAGGGGGGTGAGTGGTAGCAGGGGGGTGAGTGGTAGCAGGGGGGTGAGTGGTAGCATGGGGGTGAGTGGTAGCATGGGGGTGAGTGGTAGCAGGGGGGTGAGTGGTAGCATGGGGGTGAGTGGTAGCATGGGGGTGAGTGGTAGCAGGGGGGTGAGTGGTAGCATGGGGGTGAGTGGTAGCATGGGGGTGAGTGGTAGCATGGGGGTGAGTGGTAGCATGGGGGTGAGTGGTAGCATGGGGGTGGGGGTGAGTGGTAGCATGGGGGTGAGTGGTAGCAGGGGGGTGAGTGGTAGCATGGGGGTGAGTGGTAGCATGGGGGTGAGTGGTAGCAGGGGGGTGAGTGGTAGCATGGGGGTGAGTGGGAGCATGGGGGTGAGTGGTAGCATGGGGGTGAGTGGTAGCATGGGGGTGAGTGGTAGCAGGGGGGTGAGTGGTAGCAGGGGGGTGAGTGGTAGCATGGGGGTGAGTGGTAGCATGGGGGTGAGTGGTAGCATGGGGGTGAGTGGTAGCATGGGGGTGAGTGGTAGCAGGGGGGTGAGTGGTAGCATGGGGGTGAGTGGTAGCATGGGGGTGAGTGGTAGCATGGGGGTGAGTGGTAGCATGGGGGTGAGTGGTAGCATGGGGGTGGGGGTGAGTGGTAGCATGGGGGTGAGTGGTAGCAGGGGGGTGAGTGGTAGCATGGGGGTGAGTGGTAGCATGGGGGTGAGTGGTAGCAGGGGGGTGAGTGGTAGCAGGGGGGTGAGTGGTAGCATGGGGGTGAGTGGTAGCATGGGGGTGAGTGGTAGCAGGGGGGTGAGTGGTAGCATGGGGGTGAGTGGTAGCATGGGGGTGAGTGGTAGCATGGGGGTGAGTGGTAGCATGGGGGTGAGTGGTAGCATGGGGGTGAGTGGTAGCATGGGGGTGAGTGGTAGCATGGGGGTGAGTGGGAGCATGGGGGTGAGTGGGAGCATGGGGATGAGTGGTAGCATGGGGGTGAGTGGTAGCATGGGGGTGAGTGGTAGCATGGGGGTGAGTGGTAGCATGGGGGGTGAGTGGTAGCATGGGGGTGAGTGGTAGCATGGGGGTGAGTGGTAGCATGGGGGTGAGTGGTAGCATGGGGGTGAGTGGTAGCATGGGGGTGAGTGGGAGCATGGGGGTGAGTGGGAGCATGGGGGTGAGTGGTAGCATGGGGGTGAGTGGGAGCATGGGGGTGAGTGGGAGCATGGGGGTGAGTGGTAGCAGACGACGTGGAGCATGTGCTGATGAAGGCCGTTGTTGGCCGAAACGCGTTCACACGCGACATCCAGGCCTAATGTTTCTGGCTTTCTAATTAGTAGACCTTTTTTTTACAACTTCCCTTGCCTTTCGGATTAGTAGACTAGTGCTATAGATCGCCACTCTTAGAAGGCTTGCTGCGTTTCGAAACCAACGAGTTTCAACCCAGACGACGCGGAGCAGCAGCTGGTGGGCCAGCCACTGCATGGCGGTGAGTGGGACTGCGTGCGTGGCACAAGGACCATGTCTCCGCCGTGTGAGTGGCTCTGCTCTGGTGTGTGACTGGCTGTGCTGTATAATTGGCCGTGTCCCCAACTCACTGAATCTCTCTCGCACAGTCAGCCCCCTCTCTTCGCTGCTCCTTCCTTCCTCATCCCCTTTCCCCATCTCCACCTCAAGCATGTAACTTCCGTTCTTAAATTTGTCCATCCACCCACACCCCACCCCTTTCCCCTACTCCTTCACCAGTATGGACATAGACTATTCGCCAACAGGAAGGGAGTTTGTCACAGGATCATATGACAGAACTGTGAGTGCACTCACATGCCTTGCACTCACATGCCTTGCACATGCATCTGCTAGTCGTGTTGCTAACCTCCAGCCGTTCCACTTACCTCCCCTCCTCTCCCCTCCCCTCCCCTCCTCTCCCCTCCCTTCCCTGATCCTCACCTCGATTCCCCCCACGCTCCCCTCCCCCACCGTTCTATCCGGCTACCAGGTGCGGATATTCCCGTATGACGGCATCAAAAGTCGAGAGGTCTACCACACCAAGCGCATGCAACGGTAATCACCCCCACTACTGCCGTTCGCCGTACCTTTCGCCCTGCCTTTCCCTTGTGTTTCCCTACACTTGTTGCTCGCTTTCATAAGGTTGCTGTTGTGGTTTCCACCCTTGAGTTTTCCCACTTTCTGCGGGCCTGTAGGGCGTTCTGTGTGTGGTTCTGACACTGCCCGTCTTCTGTGCTCTCCCTTCTCTCGGTTCATCGCAGGGTGTTCTGTGTGCGGTTCAGTGGTGACGGCTCGTACGTGCTGTCAGGCAGTGACGATGCCAACATCCGCCTCTGGAAGGCGCAGGCCTCGCAGCAACTGGGCATACAGGTGAGATGCCATGGGGTGATGGGTGTGGCAGATTGGCATGACAGGCGCATGCACACAGCAGCTGGACGTGCAGGCATCACAGCAGTTGGCATGGGCAGTGACGATGCCAACATCCGCCTCTGGAAGGCACAGGCCTCGCAACAACTGGGCATACAGGTGAGGTGCTGTGTGGGTGTTGTGGGCATGAGAGGTTGGCTGCCATGGGTGCTGGGCGTGCAGGTGAGATATGATGGGTGTTCAGCGGCGATGGCTCGTACGTGCTGTCAGGCAGTGACGATGCCAACATCCGCCTCTGGAAGGCACAGGCCTCGAAGCAGCTGGGCGTGCAGGTGAGGTGCTGTGGGTTCTGGGTGTTGTGGGCATGAGAGGTTGGCTGCCATGGGTGCTGGGCGTGCAGGTGAGATATGATGGGTGTTCAGCGGTGACAGCTCGTACGTGTTGTCAGGCAGTGACGATGCCAACATCCGCCTCTGGAAGGCACAGGCCTCGCAGCAACTGGGCGTGCAGGTGAGATGCCTTGGGTAGTGGGCGTGATAGATAGGCACGATAGGTGCATGCATCACAGCAGCTGGGCGCAGGCAGTGACGATGCCAACTTCTGCCTCTGGAAGGCGCAGGCCTCGGAGCAACTGAGCGTGCAGGTGAGATGGGCGTGCACGTGAGATGAGCGTGCAAGTGAGCTGCCATGGGTGGTGGTCGTGGTAGGTAGGCATGATTGATGCCTGCATGGATGGTGGATGTGACAGGCATGATAGGCATGATAGGCATGATAGGCATGTGAAAAAGAGTTGGAATCAGCAATGCCCCTTGCCGCTAAATGCGTGGATGGCAGGTGAAGCTCCCCCCTCCCCCTGCCCCTGCGTCACTGCCCCCAAATCCCACCATCCCTTTTTCCTTGTGCGTGTGCTGCCCCTAATTGCAGGTGAAGCGGGAGAAGCGCAAGGCAGAGTACAAAGCTGCGTTAGTGGAGAGGGATCAACACACCCTCTCTCACTCGTCCCTCACGTTTGCCCCTTGATGTGCCACATGGCAGGTGAAGCGGGAGAAGCGCAGGGCAGAGTACAATGCAGCACTGGTGGAGAGGCACCAACACCTGCCTGAGATTCGCCGCATCCACAAGTGCGTGGGGGAAAGGGAGGGGGTACAAGGACTCAGAAGGGGGGGGGAAGGGAAAAGGGAAAGGGACTGGGGGAACGTGGGGGAGGAAGGGGAAATTGGGGGGGGGAGGAAGAGGAAGCGGGAAAGGTTGGTGGGGAATGGGAGAAAGAGAGTGGACAATATCTGTGTGCACAGTGCCTGTTCAGCTTCCCATTCTCCTAAGTCCTCTCTTCTCCCACCTCTCGCCTCTCCCTTCTGTCCTCAACCTTGTACTGTATGTTCCTTTTCCCAGGCACAAATACATGCCGCAACATCAAGCCGCGTGCCATCTCACCTCCCACCCTCCTCTCACGGCTCCCATCTTCCCGCTCTCCTCTCACCTCTTCCTCCTTTCGCCTTGTTTTTCCCTCCCCACAGTCACCGGCATGTGCCGAGGCCCATTCACAATGCCATCAAGCTGCGGGCCACGATGGTGGCAGCAGAGAAGCGCAAGGAGGAGAACCGGCAGCCACCATACAATTGTCCAACGTATTCATCCTCGTGTTCCCTCCCCTACGTTCCTTCCCCAGTCACCGGCACGTGCCCCGGCCCATTCACAATGCCATCAAGCTGCGGGCGACGATGGTGGCAGCAGAGAAGCGCAAGGAGGAGAACCGGCAGCGGTTCAAGAAGAAGAGCAAGGGCGTGGAAAAGAAGGACAATAAGAAGAAGGGCGAGCGCAGGAATAAGATCATTGCAGAGCTGGAGTAAATGTACATTTTACATTTTACATGAGTCATTCTCGATGCACGAGTGTGATTGGCTGTAAAGTAATGACATGGGAACCAAACCATACCATCAACATTATGTCATTGTCAATCCCGCACAGATGTGCTCAGCCGTCCGATCATCCTGGATATTACTCACCTTAGGGAACCTGAGCCTGTCACCTTAGATCCTCCCAAATATTACTTTTAGGTCACCTTAGGGAACCTGAGCCTCGGCTTGCCTTGTCATGACCGTCGCCTTCGCGGTCCGTCGCGGGACCGCGCAGCGTCAGTCAATTAACTCGTTCACGAGAAGTATTGCGAATCTCGGCGGGTTCCGTTTCCCCGAGGTGATTAATAGTTACCAAGACATCTCTTCGCCACTTTATACGAGAGCTTCGGAGGAAGCTTCTAACGGGGATACACCGTCGCTGCCGGTGTACGGTATAGATTCGCCGATCCGCGACGGTCTCGCACGGACTTCTCACCCTCGCTTTTGTCACTCGCAACCGCGTGCTCGCGAGAAGCACTTATTCGCGATAGAGTATCGCTCGTTGAAGTCATGGACGGATTGGCGGGCTGTTCACAGCGGGGATGGCGGAAGCAGTGGGGGGGACAGTAGCGGTCGGAACGTGACGGTTCCGCGCACCCCTCAGCAATACTTTGACCTGCTTTGCTCAGGTAACACCTCCCCCTGCTGTGTTTCTCAGGTATCACCTCCCCCTGCTGTGCTTGTCAGGTAACGCCTCTCCCTGCTGTGCTTCTCAGGTAACACCTCCCCCTGCTGTGCTCAGGTTAGACCTCTCCCTACTGTGAGAAGGAAAAGATGCTTCAGCCTTGCTCGGTTAACGCCTCCCCCTGCTGTGGCAAGGAGCAAAAGGGCAACAGCAAGGTAACATGTGAGAATGCGTCAGTTTGTCACTCCCAAACCACCCTCCACTCACTCCCCTCCGTCCTTGCTCAGAGCACCCCTTTCAGGTGCGTGAAGCAGGAGAGGCAGGCAGAGCGGTGGTGGCAACGAGGGGGATAGCGGAGGGGGAAGTGGTGCTGGCAACCACTCCTGTTGTGTCACACCCCACACTGGAACACGTTGGTAAGGTGGGCGAGATTGGACAGGCCATCACAGTGATATTTTCTTTTAATCATATTTAATAGTCTGATACTAATCATCATCACTATTATTATTAATATTATTCGATTTTATGGGCCACACCTCATGGATCCTGTTGGCAAGGTGGGCAACCTTGGACAGGCCAAGACAAAGGCACTTCTTTCAGGGCCATCACAGGGGCTTTTTGGGCACACACTGACTTTCTTATGGGCCACCCTTGGCGTATTTCCGTATCTTCGGCTCACCGTTGAGGCTTCGCAGCTTGTTTTTAAGAATTCTCAAAAACAACCTGCAACATCTTATGGGCCACCCTTCCACCACACTCCCACCACTCTCGCACCACCACCCCCCCACAAACTCTTTTCAGGTGTGCTACTTGTGTCTTGGGCCGCTGGCAGCAAAGCATGAGCACCACACGCACAGCATGGGGGAGAGGGGAGGCGGAGGAGGGGAAGGGGAGTGTGGCGGAGAGAGGAGGGGGGACGAAGGAGGTGACTATAACGAGCGGCAGTTCTGCAGTAAAGCGTGTGCTGATGTGGCATGGGTAGGTGTACCCTCAGTGTGTAGGCCACACACACACACACACACACACACACGAGGGCAAGCGCACTCGATGCATTCTGTTTGGCACTCAGAACAAACACACCTGACCAACACATTATGGTGCCTCCCTTGTCATCCCCTTCCCTCACTTGTCAAACCTCACCTTTCTGGCAGCATGACTTCTATGCCGTGGAGAGCGCAGCTGATTGGTCCAACCTGCATCAACACTGTTGGTGAGTGTGCATCGAAACGCTTAGCTTGCATTGTGCTGCCTGCTGCTGTTCCTCCCGTGCATTTCTCACTCTCCCTGATCGCTTCTCTGCTCCCCATCCCCCCAACCACCCAACCGTCCTTCCAGCAAGTCACCCATCTATAAAATCACCACAGCCCCCCCCATCTTCCACTCTTCCACCCCATCACCCCTACCAGGACCCACTCTATCCGCTTCCCACTGGTGGCAAAGCGTCTGGCGTGCATGGTTCTGGCTGGTACTGCTTCTGCCAATGTGCTCCAGCCGCTGTGCCATGTGGCAGAGAGTGGCGACAGCGCTGCCATGCCCGTAATAGTAAGCCGTGCCTGCTCACCGCAGTAAGTGGTGAGCCTCTTACCCCTTGTTCCTGGCATGATACCGATAGTATGATGTCTGCATGGAGCTGGCAGGCAGGCAATGCCTCTGCCAATGCGCTCCAGCCCCTGTGCCATGCCAACGAGGTAATATATGCCCACTCTCAGAAGCTGGCAGCGTGCACCCCATTTCTTTAGGTTGGCACGGGGGTTGAACCCGAACCCACTCGCTTCGGAAGTGACCCAACTATCAGCTGAACCACTTCAGGTTGGGCAACACTGTTACGAGATTTCGGGATGAGCAGAGATGATGCTCTTGCCCTCGCTCGCGAGAAGTCGCATGCTAAAGCAACTGTAACCATCTTACTGCCCCTCCCACTCGCTCTCTCCTCTCTCCCCTCTCTTTTCTCTCCTCCCTCTTCCCTCTCCGCGCCAGTGGCGGCAGGAGCATGCATACATCCACTCGGCACTCTCCTCTCTCCTCACAACCGCACAGGCAGCAGGGCAGGGAACAGTCCGCTCCCTTTTATGTGCGTGACGGGTATGCATACATGCACGCAGCGCTCCCTTCGCTCCTCGCAGCATCACACGCAGCACAAGCAGCAGGGCAGGGAACAGTCCGCTCCCTTTCATGTGCGTGACGGGTATGCATATGTGCACACAGCGCTCCCTTTCATGTGCGTGACGGGTATGCATATGTGCACACAGCGCTCCCTTCGCTCCTCACGACAGCACAGGCAGCAGGGCAGGCCAAAATCCGCTCCCTTTCATGTGCGTGACATGAGAATGATGCTCCTGATTACATGCCAACATGCTCGTATCTCATTTCTCATCCTCCATCTCCCATCCATCATCCCCCATCCCTGATTTTTCTTCAGATGGCCCTCTCTCTTTCTGCATTTTTCTGATCCCCCGTCCCCCCCAAACTCCTCCCCCACCAGTCTTCACCCCTCACTGGTACGCCTCTCTCCTAGCCCGTCTGCATCTCAACGCCTTCCGCATCGCGCCACTGCTCTCAGTCACCACTGCAGCAGCGGCTGAGCACTCTCTCTTGGACTCAACCATGCAGGACAGCATCTCTCTCTCCGCAGCAGCACTCTTCCGAGCGGCGAGTGCGGCAGTGACGGGCGACGAGGCAGTCGGCACGGGGGTGTATCTCCTCGCTTCCTTCTTCAACCATGACTGTGGTGCGTGCGTGCTCTCTGCTTGATGCTCGCTCACACCTCTCTTCAGGAGCTTCAGCCACCGCACTGCCTCAGACAGAGGCTCCAGGGGTGTACCTCCTCGCTTCCTTCTTCAACCACGACTGCGGTGCGTGCGTGCTCTCTGCTGCATGCACGTGTCTATTCTTGTGGGGACTCGACGATCCTCTTTTCTCACATGCTCATACTCTTACCCCTTGACCCATCCCTGCCATTACCCAGACCCTAACGTAGACATCTCATGGCCCATTGACGCTACAGCCGTGTCCTGAACTGTCACATGCTGACATGCTTTGAGATGCTCACTTATCCATCATCCACCCATCCACGCCATTACCCAGACCCTAACGTAGACATGGCCCACTGATGCTACAGCCGTGCGCTGAGCTGCTCTCATGCTCACATGCTTACCATCTCCTCCCCCTCCCCTGCCGTTTCTCAGACCCTAACGTAGACATCTCATGGCCCACTGACGCTACAGCCGTGCTCCGAGCCAGAAGAGATATCGAAGCTGGTGAGCAAGTATGGCTATTGGTTTCATTATCCATACCGTATCAGTCGTCAGTGAGAGAATCAAATCTGATGGTGATCAATGCTGCTACTGCTACTGCTCCTTCTCCTGCTTCTGCTCCCGCTCTCTCTGCTTCTCCTCGCTCTGCGCTCCTCTGCTTCTCTCTGCTGCTCCCTCTGTTAGTACAGGTCATGTTAGCACCAACCAACCCTGTTTGCGAGGCAGACTTTGAGTCGACTAAAAAGTCTTGTCTAGCACCAACCCTATCTGCCGCGCCCCACATGCCTATGCCTCCAGGGGAGCACCTCACAATAACGTACCTGGACAGCAGCCTCGGAAGGGAGGCTCGGCAGAGGCATCTGAAGGAGGCGTATGGCTTTCGCTGCACGTGCCAGCGCTGCCAGCAAGGCGACATGTAGATAACGGGTATGTTTACTGTAGGTGGTGTTTTGTAAACGGAACTGTAAGTGTCATTAATAAAGCACCTTTTACTCAGTTATCACCATATTTTGCGCTGAGATGGAGGCCCAGAATTGTAGCTCTGGATGTAATGTCTAGTGCACCTTTGAAAATGCGCGTCCATATTTGGTCATACCATATCTACTGAATCAGAAGTGCTATAATGAGAGCAAATCGTTTTTATTGATTAATAACTTCTGTTGCAATGCAGGCATGAGGTGCACCCACAGATGATATGAGCTAAGAAGACACACAGAGCATTCTTAATGGCCAACACAATCAAGACTTGTATCCTCCACCATTCAAGCCGCCAATCTATTCCCAACCCCCATGGCATGGCACTAGCAGCTGAAGTAGTGCAAATCGTCATCCATCAACTGACCCATCAGCCTCATCGGGTCATGTGCCCCTGCTAGCCCTGCTAGCCCTCCTGCTAGCCCGCCTCCTGTCACTCCTCCTGTTAAACCTCCAGCTATCCCTCCTACACCCATCCCAAACATATTCTCATGACCATCAACACCAACAGCACCAGCAGCAGCACCGTTGCTGCCACCACCGCTGCCATTGCTACTGCCATAAGTCCCCATCATGCCCCCATCCCACATACCCAACTCATCAGCCCCTCCTCCCCCACCACCACCCAACCCACACTCCTCTCCAGTCAATTTCTCAAACCCACCATACTGCACCGCACCAGCATCAGCAGCACCGCTCCCCTCTGCCCCGCCTGCTTCAGCCCGGACCTCAGGTTCGGTCAAGGCTCGGCCGAGCGTGCGCTCGCCGGGCACCAAGGCTTGGAGGTCCGACAAGGCTCGGCGCTTCATCCTGGTTTGAAGCTGGCCCTTGGCCCAAGATCCAACGGTTGCGATTAGCTCCTCCTGCTGCTGCTGCTGGGCTATAATAGCAGCGAGACGCGGGGAGATGGCGGGAGCAGCAGGAGAGGCAGGTGTGGCAGATGGGAGGAGAATGGATGGACGAGCGAATTGATTGCTCGCGGAATTTCCAGTGCTGCTGCTCTTGCTGACCCCGCCGTTGCTCAGTCCAGTATTTCTCAAGCCGGCGTTGCTGAGAGCATCATTACATGACGTGGGGCTTCCAACACCCCCGTCGCTCCCCGTTTTTTCCACCGCTTCACCAACGCTTGACAGCCCTGCTTTCTCCTCTCCCAATCGCGCCATCTGCTGCTGCTGGTGCTGCTGGTGCTGCTGCTGCTGCTGCTGGTGCTGCTGCAGCTGCTTTTGCAGGTCTTCCCCGTGTTGCTGCTGCTCCTGCAGCTGCCTCTGCAGCTGCAGCTGCTGCCGGTTCAGCTCTCTCCTTCGCTTCTCCAGCTGCTGCTGCTGACTTGGGTGCTGCTGCAGTTTCTGCTGCTGTTGTTGCTGCTGCTGTTGCTGCTGTCGCATCTCCTCTCCTTGCTGCTGCTGTTGCTGATTGATAGCAATGCCACCAGCCATGCTGCTGTAAGCTGGAAAAGGGTGGCCCATGGGGGGCATGTGGAAGGCAAACGGATGGGCAGACGCATGTGCTGCTGCATGTGCAGCATGTGCAGCATGTGCGGCATGTGCAGCATGTGCCATGTGGTGATGCATGGATGGAGGTGCCATTCCTGCCATCCCCATCATGCTTCCGGGCTGCCCGAACATCATTCCCGGAAACATTTCGCCAAACTGCCCGCTGCCCGGGGCAGCTCCTGTCGGCAGGCCGATAGCAGGAGGCGGGTGGAAGGAATCACCCGGGAAGCTTCCTTGCCTCAACAGCTGAGACTGATGCTGGTGGTGCTGCTGCTGTTGGTACTGCTGCTGGTGGAAAGGGAAATTCTGATTGGATACTGGCTGTGCAGCAGGAGGCTTAGTAGCAGCAGCGGGGGCAGGGGCAGGAGGGGCACGGGAGGAGTTGGAGAGCCTTGACTTGGGTTGACTTTGCTGACCGGCCTGCTGCATGCTCGCCTTGATGGCGGCGGCTGTAGCAGCGGCGGACGCGAAGGCGGCAGGGTCCTTGCCAGACGGCTTGCTGCTGCTGCCTCCACTCGCTACAGCCAAACCACCACTGGCTACAGCCGAACCACCAGCAGGACCAGCCACACCAGCAGCACCAGCAGCGCCAGCGGCGGAAGCGAACACGGGATTTCCGGAAGGAAGGAAGGAGGAGGCACTCGCGCTTCGGCGAATGGGGCAGCTGCTGCCGCCACTGATATTAGCACCACTGATGTTAGCACCACTGATTTTAGCACCAGTGACGCCAGCAGCGCCAGCAGGAGCAGGGGAGCCCGAGCCTGAGAGCTTCGGGCGGAACGGGCAGGAGGCTTGGTGGAGGTTCCGCGCGTTGCGGTCAGCAAAGGCGTTGCCCCACTGGTGCTTCGGGCAGCGGTCAAACGGGCAGAGAAAAACTCTGTGCTCAGGGGCTAAGGACCCCGCGCCCTGTGAGAGCGAAGCAGCAGCAGCAGCAGCAGCAGCAGCGGCAGAAGCAGCAGCAGTGGCAGCGGAAACGCTGGTGAGGTTGCTTGTACCGGAGAACACTGTAGCGGGGATATTCAGAATCTCCTGCTCCGTCTTGACGCGACCAGCCAAACGGCCAGGAGCTTCAGGCGCGTACTCGTCATAGTCCGCCCCGTTACCAGCCGCGGATAGTTTAAAGCTTCCCCGTTTATCTTCCCCCGCGTCAATTGCGCCAGCGCGCATCTTCCCGCTCAGAATCTCCGCCAGTAGCGCGTTAGTGTCCACCCCCGACAAATCCGCTCCGCGGATCCCAATTCCGCCGTCAATTTCGCCGCCAATTTTGCCAGTAATTCCGCCGTCGCGCTCGAACGCGCCCGCGCCGGGGGCTCTTACAGGCGATCCGGCGGCAAACGGGTCGAATTTCGCCGCGTCTTCGAGCCGCCCTTGCGCCTTGAGAATCTCCGCCTCCTCCTGGTCCAGCACGGCGTTCCACGTGGCACTCTCGCGCGCCGTCATCTTATCCTGCAGGCACTTGCTCTGGCGAACCAGCTTTCGAATACGCGCCACGTCAGGACACAGGTGCCGGATAACTGACGTCAGCACGCCTACTTTCCACGCCTTCTTCAAATCGTGCGGTTTCTTGTACGGCGGCGGGCCGGTGCCACGTGTCAGCCCCAGTTGTGGCCACCAGTGCTCCTCCCCCGACGGCCACCAAGGCGGCGGAACGCCCTTCTCGAGCGGAAATCTCCGCTGCGGGGGGTCGCAGTGCTGCATCAGCGCGGAGAGAAGCGATCCCAGCGTCGTATCCTGCAGCTCCTGCAGCGTCTGCGGCGTCGCGAGCGCGGAAAATCCGCTCCCGCCGATTCCGCCCGCGCCGGGGACCATTCCGCCGGGAAACACGCTGCCGTTCCCCCCCGCGGCGGCGGCGGCGGAAGAAGCGGCGGCCTGCTCCGCGTTGTAGCGCGCAATCGCCGCGGGGCCGTTGCGGTCGAAGCGCACCTTGTCCTTCCACCATGCACGCAGATTGTCGGAGCTTCCGCCGACTGGCTTCCCCTTTTCGGGGATAATTCCGTACACGAACCCCTGCGCGTTGCACACTTCCATCATTTTCAGCATGTATTTAAGAATGCCGTCGTGCGCGCGCGACATCTTCTTCCGCCGCGCCTGGTCCTGCTGCGACTGCCGCTGCCGCGTCTTCTGCTCGTCCTCGCCCGCCGCGTCCTTCGGCGCATCCACCGCCGCGTCTCCCGCCTCGTCTGCCGGGGTTGCTGTCTCGCCGTCCTTAGCCTTCTGGCCGTCCTTGATTCGCTTCAGCTTCAGGCGATCCTTCCACATGCGACGCTCCAATTCGTCGACGTCGAATTCGTCGTCGGAGAAGCAGTCGCCGAAGTCGCAGGCGTCGCCTGCGATGAAATCCGCCATGTCGCCGAGATCCAGATGCCCGCTGATTGAAATCTCCGATTCCATCCTCTTGATAAGAAATCAGGCAGCTGAAGAAACAGCCTCCTCCTCGAAGGGTCACGTCGAAAGAGTCGAGTCGGCTTGTATAGTCTCCAGATGAACGGTAATTGGCCGATAAAACACGTGAGATCTGGTCCGTGAAATGCCCACGAGCTTCGGAGCACGAGCGGGTGACGCGGCGACACGTGGCACACCAGACTGATAGGCTCAAAGCGTGTGGTCGGGAGGGGAAGATGTTCCGAGAATTCTTCCAAGTAATTTTAAAATTTAGAGGTCCCGACAGAAGAGGGACCGATGGAAATATCTCAAAGCTCGTGGGAAATGGCGGGAAGATAAGCTGCTTAAAGGATTTGATGCTGATAGAGTGAGGAAGCAGCAGGAAGTGGCTTGAAAGATACAGCACGACTCATAAGCGATTGCTGCGTGGTCAGCCGGAAGACGCCTGCTCTCGCCTCTCTGTTAAGTCCAGGGTTTACTGGTTTCGTATCACTTGAATCTCGATTTGTCTAGCTGGAATTGCTGTCTGACAGGGTGCAGAGCGCAATATTGTATCGCAGGACAAGTACGATGCGGAATCACAGAGGATGCTTGCAGGATGAGGCTGAGAGAAGCCGTCGAGCTAGAGGAGCGAATTATAGCAGTGACTATGGGTGCTGGCGCTCACGAAAGGGATCTCTATTGACTGAAATTCGCTCTCTCTCCGCCAGTCATATTCTCGCGTCAGAAAAACGGCAGCGCGGCTTGGAGACCTGGAGCGTTTGGGAACAGAAGATAAAACCAGAGTAAGGGACAAGAGCAGTGGCGGTGGTTAGGAGAGGCGAGGCGAGCTTGTGTGACTGGCTGACGCGTGAAGAGGAAGGAAGTGGCTCAAGTTCGTTATGACAGTCCCATGCTTGAGGGCTGCTCGGTTTGTGGCTCTCAAAGCGCTTCCCTGAGTCTCAAGAGCTGAGGGATGGAGGAATCGAGGAAGCGAGATGGGTGGCTTTGAAAGGATTCGCTGTGACAGCGCGATTTTGTACACTCATGGCGATTAGGCGCTGTTCGGAGCTGGGGGGAGGGAATGCGGTGCGCATGCGCTGTGAGCCTCAGGAAGTCATCAGTCAAATACAACCAAGAACGACACCGGAGAGAGCGAGAGCGAGAGAGAGCCAGAGAACGAGTGGGGAAACGAGGACAGAGCGACGGAGAGGAGAATGGAGCGGGGGCGTTTGGTTGGGCTCGGAGCATACCTCTTCCTGTCCCCTCGCACACTCCCTCCCACACCCTTGCAGCGGGGCAGTTTCCACGACTTCGGAAAGTCGAATCCAAAGCTCAAGCGAATTGGAGCAAGCGAACTGCAAACTGCCGTGCGTGTGTGGCTGTGAGGGGAGCGTTTCTCCTTAGCCACTGGCGAAGTGGATAGGGATTACGAAAAGGTGTCAAGTTGGTGGGGGTAAGATTGAACCACTGCTTACTCAACACATCAGCATCCGCAAATCCTGAAAAATGCGCCAATTGGGCAATTCAACAAGATCTGACCACATTTGCTGATATATTTCCGAGGTTGAAGTTCGATATTCGAGCAACGTACACGTCAGCCCCTAATATCAAGATCATTCAAACCACACGTTTGGTCAGCTGGAGCGAAGAAACTCCAAAACCCACCGAAGCAGAAAGCACACGCGAACGGCGAATTGTGGCAGTCCATCCGGGCCCTGGTGGGTTCGAACCCACCAGGTCCCCCTCCTGGTGGAACCGAGTTTCCACCAGGGCCGCACGCGGATGCAAGCCCTGTCGCGGCCCCCAGCTGGGAAACGCACGCGAGCGGGGGTCCCCCGCCCGCCTGCAAGTCCCTAGCGAGATTCGGGCGGCGGAGTCAGCTGGAGTGGTGGTCCCGCGCCGAGCCCGGGCCACGCCAGAGCCACGCAGTGTGGTCCCCCCCCCCGGCCCAGCCCTGGCTCGAGAAACCCCTCGCGAATCCACTCGCTCTCCAATCCGGTGTCGAGGGCCCAACCCCCAGCGCGCCGAAACAAAGCCAGCCAATCAGAGCCGTTCCCGAGTGGTTTGTCACTCGGAGAACCCTCGCGAGGCAGTCCGCATGCGAATCCGCGCGTGCGAAAGGAGATTCGGGCTGGCCGAAACGGATTCGGCCAATGAGAGCAGGTTTCCGAGCGACGGGCGAATCGTCACGCCTGCGAAGCGGTACCCGTGGTGCCCGAAAAAGTGCAGGCCAATCGCCATCGTTTACGAGAGTCGGACGGCTCGCACGAGCCTCGCGAAGAACCTTTTTGCCTCGAGTCGAAATTTTCGGTACGGAGTGTACTCCACTGGGATGACCAATCGAAATAATTTTATATGCATCGGGGAATTACTCAGTCGCGCATGTACATGTAATATAACGGAGTGTAGTGCTAATTCGGGTGACCCGATGGTAACATCGGGACTCGGCGGACGCGACGAGGAAAATTCACTCCGCGAGAGTCGGCAACCCGCCCCGAACGGGTCTCGCAGATGGAGTGCATCGTGGCGGAAGTGGGCTGCGCAAGCGTGCATGTTGCGGAACCTCCCGCCTTGTCAAAGTCGAAAGCGGCGCGGGTTGAGAGGCCCGCGCTGTTTGTCCGCGAGTGCCGTCTCTTGATTCCCCCGTGGCCCCCTCTTAGGCTCTCGGTAAGGGCATTTGGTGCTCATTTTCGTTCTCCTCATTTTCGTTCTCCTCCTTCACAACCTGTTTTCTTCCTGCTCGCCCGTTCCACGTAGCGGTCTTTCAAAGCCTAGTGCAAGTAGAGACTCTGACTGACCGCGATCGCGCGTGCTCGCGTGCATCTTGGTCTTTTTTAAACGCGAGCATCGATTAGCGGACCATAAATCCTAGATCCCCCGTACCTGTGGTCGCGCTCTTGAGGTGGTACCGGTGATGAACCGCGAAATGAAGGCACTTAGAGCTGGGTCGATGGCGGCCGCCTCCTGTCCGGCCAACATCTCTGTTGCGGGAGCCACGGTGGACCTCCCCCCCGATCAGTGGAAGCTGCTCGCTGATGACAAGCATCCGTTCACGGCCCGTCTGTTCGACTTCGTCGCTTGGTGAGATCCATGCATCCCAATCCCTGATTCCACTGTGCACGCGTTGTTGGTGGTCGCGTGGTATAGCATGATCGCGACATGTCCGCAGTATGCACTAGTGGGCTGTGCAAGGCGCGTCGTATTCCCGCGGTGCTTTTATGTAGCCTTGTTTGTGTCCGTGATTTCCCCCGCTGTGTTTTACCTCTTCCCGCACAGCGTCATTGTCTGGAGGTTTTTGGAGAAAGAGGTGCAGGAGCACGTCAGGGTGGTGACGAGCGATGTGGTCGCGGACATTGTCGCGGGTCGCGATGAGGCTGTCAAGGCCTTTGCCGGTGTGATGGAGTGCAGCCTTGTTGCATTCTGCATCTGGACCGAGTGAGTGTTTACTTTGGAGTGTTCACTGGTATTGTTTCTCGCACTCGATTACGTGGGTTTACGCGGTCGTTAATGTAACGTGCAGGGACTTGGTGGACAACAACTGCTCGAACGCGAGCATGCTCCTTATGCTCCACCCAGATCACCTGTCGATTGACGGTGACGAGAATTGGCACACGCGTTTCGTTCGCGTTGCTATTCCACCTGGTGGGCGGGAACACGTGACCGCGGCGGAGGCAATTGTGGAGTGAGTACCGCGTACAAGTGTACCATCTTTACCACGTTCAATACCGTTACATGGCTCCCGTCGCTAACCGTGCGTTCGCGTTGCTATGTTTGTGCGTATGGGCAGGTGGTTTCAGGGTCGCGTGGACGAGGAGTTTGCTCGCGGCTCCATTCAGTGCACCCGGGCGCGCCAGCTTCAGGATCCCAATCGGCTGTACGATATGGTAAGTCTGTGTTGTTTACGTGTCCTCGTTGGCCGCGAGTAGTTGCAACTGTGCTAACAAAACCCGCGTTCTGATTCCCAGGACGCGACGTCGTTGAAGGGCTCATGCGGCAACCTCGCTTGTCTGTTCGCGTTAGACGCTCAGTTGGACGCGGTTGCTGCCAATGGATCCGGGCCGCAATTCTCGAGGCCTACCGCGAAGACTCTGAATGCACTGCGGCATGACGCCCACCAAACCGCCGAAGAGCTCGCGTTCAACTTGAGCGTGGATTTGCCGCGACACAAGCACGGCGATGAGGCTGAGGGGGCTGAATTGGGGAAGATGCATGAAGTGACAACGGGTGCGCGGGTTGCTGACCATGGTGTACTCGCTCTCACAGGTGCCGCTGGTGTTTCGAGCTGCGGAGGTGCTCGCGGCGGGACGGCGGTCCACGCTGATGACGATGGGGCAGACGATACCACGACTAAGGGTGCACCCCGCAATGACGCTGACCGCACTGTAGCGCGTGAGGGGGAAGAGTCAAGCGAGGAGGAGGCGGAGGCACACGTGGTCGCAGCCGCGGCAGCCAACAGGCCCGCTACATCCGGCAAGAGCATCAAGCACCTCGCGCAGCACTTGGCCCCCGGTGCTGGAAGCGCGGCCCCGAGTGGTGAGGTCGCGGGCAAGAGTCCCGTGACATGTGCGCGTGATCACGCGTCCCTTTCCGCGTTGCCCTCGCATAGGCTTGCTGCCGAGATCCTGCAGCTTGACTGCAGGCTTGCAGCGCAGGCGGAAGAGATCGCACGGCTGAAGATACGCCAGGAGTCGGGGGTTGGAGTGTCAGAATGCTATTATTGTCTAGCCTGCAGTGGGGTACTCTATAGCGAGTACAGCCCAATCTAGGGTTTGCTATTTGTACTCAACTGCCTGCTAGTTCAACCCCTCTCTCCTTTCATTCATTCTTGCCTAGTGATTCTGACATGCTATCAGAGCAGGTCGACCCTCCTGGGTCGATCCTGTGGGTGGGCCCACCACCTAAGCCTTCCGCTGCTACTGCTACTGCTACTGCTACTCCCTGTCCGCCGCGCGCCCCGTGGCGCGCGGCGTCGAAACTAGGGTTTTCAGCCCGCCGTGCGCCCCGAGGCACGCGGCGGTTTTCTGCCCGCCGTGCGCCCCGAGGCGCGCGGCGGTTCTCTGCCCGCCGTGTGCCCCGAGGCGCGCGGCGGGTTCCTGCCCCGTCACTCGGCACGTCGCCCCCGGGAGGCGCTGCGACGGGCGACGGGGACCCGCGCGTCGCCCCCCGTCGCCCGTCGTGGCCTGCGCGCGGCCCGTACACCCGGCACGCGGCCCGTACGGGCTGCGCCAGGCCTGCGCGCGGCCCGTACGGGCTGCGCCAGGCCCGCGCGCGGCCCGTACGGGCTGCGCCAGGCCCGCGCGCGGCCCGTACGGGCTGCGCCAGGCACGCGCGCGGCCCGTACGGGAAGCGCCAGGCCCGCGCGCGGCTCGGGCCGCCTGCGCGCGGTTCGGGCGGCTCTACCAGGCCCGTGGGCGGCCCGTTCCTCGCTGCTCCTGCCCTCTCCACTGTCCCCCGTGCTTCTACCGGCGCCTCACCCCTCCTACAGCCCGTTCTCCTAAATTAGGGTTTGGGGGTGAAGAGTGTGGGGGTGGCGGCTATGGGGGTGTCGGTTGTGAGTTCCTCCCCCTGCTCCTCCTCCTCCCTCGTCTCCCTCTGCTACAGCTGCCGCTGAGGGGGGTGGTGTGTGGGAGCCTAGGGTTTGGGGTTTAAGGGGGGTACCGTCGGAGTGGAGCTAGGGTGTCAGCAGGGGGTGTGTGAGAGGGGCGTGGGACGGTCGGGGGAGATTGCGTGGAGGTAGCCGTCGTGACGCCAGCAGCGCCAGTAGTCCGGATGCCCTCGCGCGTTTCGGTAGCCCAGCGAGCCTGCTTCGCCAGTCGCCTGTGGGTCCGTTGCTCCTGTGTGTGCTCGTCGTAGCCGCGGAGCCAGATACTCCCGTAGTCCGGTGCCCTCGTGCGCTCGGTAGCCACTGTGCGCGCCGCTCCTGTTGCCCGTGTGTCTGCAGCTTCAGTCGGCGCCTTTCATCTTCTCTCCTCTCGCCAGCCCTCCTCCTCCTCGCTTGCCCTCTGTGACTGCCTCTAGCTTTGCTCATAACTGTGAACTTTAAACTATTGCTTCTTGAACTTGTGCTCAGAATGTGTGGTGACATTGTGATCCACCCTGAGCTTGTACTGCTTTGCTTGCTCTGCTGATTACACCCCACTTTGGCTATGGGGGTGTGTCAGAATGCTATTATTGTCTAGCCTGCAGTGGGGTACTCTATAGCGAGTACAGCCCAATCTAGGGTTTGCTATTTGTACTCAACTGCCTGCTAGTTCAACCCCTCTCTCCTTTCATTCATTCTTGCCTAGTGATTCTGACATGCTATCAGAGCAGGTCGACCCTCCTGGGTCGATCCTGTGGGTGGGCCCACCACCTAAGCCTTCCGCTGCTACTGCTACTGCTACTGCTACTCCCTGTCCGCCGCGCGCCCCGTGGCGCGCGGCGTCGAAACTAGGGTTTTCAGCCCGCCGTGCGCCCCGAGGCACGCGGCGGTTTTCTGCCCGCCGTGCGCCCCGAGGCGCGCGGCGGTTCTCTGCCCGCCGTGTGCCCCGAGGCGCGCGGCGGGTTCCTGCCCCGTCACTCGGCACGTCGCCCCCGGGAGGCGCTGCGACGGGCGACGGGGACCCGCGCGTCGCCCCCCGTCGCCCGTCGTGGCCTGCGCGCGGCCCGTACACCCGGCACGCGGCCCGTACGGGCTGCGCCAGGCCTGCGCGCGGCCCGTACGGGCTGCGCCAGGCCCGCGCGCGGCCCGTACGGGCTGCGCCAGGCCCGCGCGCGGCCCGTACGGGCTGCGCCAGGCACGCGCGCGGCCCGTACGGGAAGCGCCAGGCCCGCGCGCGGCTCGGGCCGCCTGCGCGCGGTTCGGGCGGCTCTACCAGGCCCGTGGGCGGCCCGTTCCTCGCTGCTCCTGCCCTCTCCACTGTCCCCCGTGCTTCTACCGGCGCCTCACCCCTCCTACAGCCCGTTCTCCTAAATTAGGGTTTGGGGGTGAAGAGTGTGGGGGTGGCGGCTATGGGGGTGTCGGTTGTGAGTTCCTCCCCCTGCTCCTCCTCCTCCCTCGTCTCCCTCTGCTACAGCTGCCGCTGAGGGGGGTGGTGTGTGGGAGCCTAGGGTTTGGGGTTTAAGGGGGGTACCGTCGGAGTGGAGCTAGGGTGTCAGCAGGGGGTGTGTGAGAGGGGCGTGGGACGGTCGGGGGAGATTGCGTGGAGGTAGCCGTCGTGACGCCAGCAGCGCCAGTAGTCCGGATGCCCTCGCGCGTTTCGGTAGCCCAGCGAGCCTGCTTCGCCAGTCGCCTGTGGGTCCGTTGCTCCTGTGTGTGCTCGTCGTAGCCGCGGAGCCAGATACTCCCGTAGTCCGGTGCCCTCGTGCGCTCGGTAGCCACTGTGCGCGCCGCTCCTGTTGCCCGTGTGTCTGCAGCTTCAGTCGGCGCCTTTCATCTTCTCTCCTCTCGCCAGCCCTCCTCCTCCTCGCTTGCCCTCTGTGACTGCCTCTAGCTTTGCTCATAACTGTGAACTTTAAACTATTGCTTCTTGAACTTGTGCTCAGAATGTGTGGTGACATTGTGATCCACCCTGAGCTTGTACTGCTTTGCTTGCTCTGCTGATTACACCCCACTTTGGCTATGGGGGTGTGTCAGAATGCTATTATTGTCTAGCCTGCAGTGGGGTACTCTATAGCGAGTACAGCCCAATCTAGGGTTTGCTATTTGTACTCAACTGCCTGCTAGTTCAACCCCTCTCTCCTTTCATTCATTCTTGCCTAGTGATTCTGACATGGTATCAGGAGTCGCGGTCGTGGGCTCCGAGGAGCTCGCGGCCGCGCTGTCTAATGCGGTTCGGTTGCTGGAGAGGGAGGCGAGGGCGCTCGCGCAGGAAAGGGCGGCCCTGCTGGACACGCGTAACCAGGAGGCGTTGGTGCTGGGGCGAGTGGACGCGAGGTTGGGCCAGCTGCAGGGGGTGGTGGCGGACTCCATGGAAACCGCGCAGAAGAAGTTGACGGACGAGGTTGCGCGGAAGATCGACAACATGTCGTCCGCGGTCTCAGCGACAGCAGAGCGGGCAATCACAACCAGCGGGGTCACGAACGCGCTGCACACCCTCATCGCGCTCGTCGGAGGGAGCCCGACTCCGCGCACCGGTACGGAAGATCCGGCCGCGACGAAGAATGCCGATGCCGGGGATGCTGAGCATGGTAAGCGGGCGACGGGTGCGAAGGCCGAGACTCAGAGGGGGGCGAAGAGGCAGAGGGTTCCTCAGGCAGCGGCCGCGGTGCGCCACCCGAGCGTGCATGACATCCTCAAGAACAAGTGGGGCGCTGCATCGCGAGGCGCTGCACGCCTGGTCAACCGGGGTCGAGCTCGCGCTCCATCCCACCTGGAGAAGCTGCACCCAAAGCACCGGGCCCTGCCGGGGCGACCGCGACAGTGACAACCACTGCGGGTAAGGGCAAGGGTAAGTTGGAGGATGGAGAGGTGCCGGCCGCTGTGGGTTCGCTTGCAGCGGGGCGTGAGGAGCAGTCCGCGGCGGCTGCTGCGGCGGAGGGAAGGCAGACCGCTCTCGCACCCGCTCATCCCGCGATTACCGCGGGTCATCTGCACAGCGCGCTGGCATCTGCAGGTCCGAGCGCTGCCGCGGGAGAGGCCAAGACGGAAAAACGCGGGCGAGGCAAGAAGTTGCCCCCTCCACCCGTGTACACCATCGACGAGGACGATGCGGACGAGGAGCTCGAGAATCTCGCGAGCCGGTGGGTCGGGGAGGAGGGCGACGGAGGAGAGCAGGGTGTGGTGGACGCGGTCGAACTGTTTAGCGGCGGGGAGAGCGCGGACGAGCAGGACGCAGACACCGTGGTCGTGCCCAGTGGGCCAACGGGGGGACAGGGTGACACAGTCAGCAAGCGCAAAGGCTGTGGTATCCGCCATCCTCCCAGGGGCGGTCCTGGCTTGGTTTCTGAACCGCATCTGGGGGGGAAGAAGCGGTGGCTTGGACAAGGCGAGCGCGACGACCTGCAGTACAAAACCGCGATCGCGATGATGCCGTACGACCTGAAGGTGGATCCCGGGCTGCACCTCAGCTCTAAGCAGATGCGGGATTGGGCCGCGGACCTGTCCGCTGCCGAGGGGCTACACACGGGCCTCCTCATCACCATGCATCACCGCAACCTCGTGGCCAGCAGGGAAAGGTGAGCGGCACCATCTCACATTCATCTAGCGCGTTCATACTGTCGCGATGTGGGGGGTGGGGGGTTGGTTTATCGTGTTCTGGCCGCTACACCCACTGCGTGGCAGGTGGACCCGCATGTTCAAGCACTACCGCGAGCTGACCCAGCCCGGATCGACCACCACCAACGAGATTGCTTGGGCCGCGGTGGTGGGCACGGAGGCTGCAGCAGAAGAGACGGAGCTCTACCGCGATGTGGATCCGCGGGATTACGCGGGAGCGATCGCGTGCGCGATCGCAATGGTGTGGGAGGTGACGCGCGGTTCGGCGGTCTCGACCGCGTCAGATTCTGGCAATTTGGCCGCGCGAGCGGTTAACTGCCAGAGGGATCGATGCCGTCTGTTCCCCGTTGTAACCGCGTACGTCATCAGGGCTGTGCGGCGGCGCAATTCTCGCGAGAAGCAAGCTGGTGACGACGAGCCGAAGGTAGTCCCGGATCCGAGGGTGGTCGCGGACGCGTTTGCATCTGAAGTCGTGAACGACGTCGTCGCCAAGTCTCGCGACCTCAGGCACATTGAGATGGCTGCTCGCGAAACGGTGGACGTTATCATCACCTGGTGCGACTGCTCGGTTGCGGGGAAGGTCATGGAGTCCATTGGGCTTTACCTTGCCCTGCCCAAGGATCGTCTTAAGAAGCGGACTTGAGTGCGTGTAGTGTCGCGTCGCGTGTGCGCAGCCTGTCCACCCTGCTTGAGTTCTACTCGCGGTGGATTGTTGTTCATGTTGCGGACATGTGTGCATGTAGTATGCCGTGTGTGTTTGTGTGTGTGTATTAGCGTGAGAACATAGTGCTGACTTGGATCAATATGTGCTTGAAGACAGAATCATGACTACCGCGGACGGGAACCGCGAAAAACAAGCTTGAACAGCCATTCCTGGTCTGCATCACGCACTTTTCGAACGCGTTTCAATGGGAACCACACACATGTCGTACGTTGAACATTAGAAAACCATTGGTCCACACTCTCCTACATTACAAACACATGAAGTCAGCAGCCTGACAAACCATGTCCCGCGGTCGCGATCTGCACGCACTAAGCTAGCGGAGGCATCTGGTCACAGTACTGAAGCCACGCGACCGGAAACTCAGACGCGGGAAGCGAGGCATCGATGAGGCGGTCGCGTACAAGCATCCATTTAACCCGCAACTGCACCTCCGCAGGGGTACCCTTCTTCAGCTCGCTCAGCGACGAGTCAACACTCTTCTTCTTCACCGCGATCCCTTCCGACACACCCGACATGCCCACAGATCGGGACACGTTGTCGAGTTTCTCGAGCACGACGTCGATGTTGTCTCCCTGCTCCACCCTACGGGAGATGAAGTCCATGACTCGCTTCACACGGTTTATCGCGTTCTGGGCGGCGTTCTGGCCGCCCTTCTCCTTCCCCATGAGCTCGGCCATTCGCGTAACTGCACCACGGGGTTGGGCCAGTAGCGACTCTGGACTCTCGCCTACCAGCGCGTGCGTGGACTTGTACAGCTTCCATCCGTCCGACGGCTTGGTCGCGTTCACCCATGGTTTCATGATCGCGTCCCGAATAGTCTCATCCCTGGTCGGCTGTGCTGGCTTCTTACGCGTCCCCTGGTCGGTGGGGGTTGCGGAATTGGTGGGCGCGGCCGCGGCCCCAGGAGTGTTTGCCGGTCTCGGATCCGCGGTCGGCCCTGAGCTGCTCACGGTGAGACGCGACAGCTGGGCTTCCAGGTCGTTCACGCGCTCGTCCTTCTCAGCCAGCCTCCGGTCGCGATCTTCCAGCAGCCCCTCCAGCTCTTTCACCCGTCTCTGGATCGCGGCCAGCTCTACGGCCAACCTGGTGTTGTCCGCTTGTGAACGTGTCAGGTACTCAGTGAGGCAGGCCACTTGGTTCTGCGCGTCCATCCTGGTACTGACCTCCTGCATACACAGAACGCGAACGCGTAAAATGTGATGGGTACGCATTGACATTACAGCCGAACTAGTAACGCGACCACACAGTACGCACCGCGGGCTGGGTCAGTGTAGGGGTGTTTCGCTGTACTATGGCCAGCTGATTTGCCAAGGAGACATCTGCTGCCCACCGCGCAAATTCCTCTGTCTGGCAGAGCGGGTTGTTGACCACGTACGGGTGTCGCGGCTGGTGTATGTAATACATGGCCAGGTCTTGTGCGACCGCCATTCTAGCCTCCCCATTCAGCTCCTTCAGTATGTTTAGACCCGCGGTGTCCTGCTTCTCCGGCTTCTTCTCTTTGACCATCTTGCTGTTGTAATCATGGCACTGTGCAACACAACAACGCGATAGTTTAGGGGTTTATGTGGAATGATCGCGGTGTGTTGATACTACTATGCGCGGCCCACACCCACCTGTTTCTGCCCTTTGTCCTCGGCGGCCCATGGGAAGATGTGCTTCTTCATCAGCTTCTCCAGCGCCTCGCTCGGTGGAACTGTTGCGCGACCCAGGAAGTAGTCACCATCAACCCCTGTGAAGCCAGCCTTCAGGAGCACGGCCTCCCTCGGAATAGTTGTGAGGTAGTGCTTAGTCATCACGTCGATGAAGCGCCACCCCCCCAGTCTCGCCAGCTGATCCGACGGCATTCCGTCTGCGGCCGCGTGCTGAGCCCCTCCAGCTCTAGTCGCGTGAACGACACGCGAGCATGTGATTCCCGCGTCCCCCAGAATCTTCGCCGCCCAGTCGTGATGAGTCGTGGGCGGTATCTGCTTCTCGGTGCCCGCGCGAAGGGGGAAGAAGAGGTACTGGTCGTACCACGTCGAAGGTTCCGTGAAGTCGAGAGGGGGGGCTATGTCCCCGTAGAGGATAGGGACCAAGTCGTACACCCAGTGCAGCCATAGCAGCGTGGCTCCGACCGCGCACAGAGTCCAATCAATGTGTCTCACTGCCGAGATGTAGTTGAGCGAGAAGTCCTTGTTTGTCTTGCCCGTCCTGCACGCGCAGACAAACGCGAACGCATTCCGCACTGGATCCGTCTCGGATTTTGCGCCCAGCTTCCACATCATCATGTTTGGAAGCTGGAGGTTTCGGATCGTGGAACCGCGAGCTAGTGTGTGATGACCGAGGACCGTCATCGTCCTGATGCAGAGGTCGCGATGCATTGCCTGCGTGTACTGTTGCTTGGCTAGTGTGAAGCTGCTCACGATGGCGGCCATGCTGGTTTTCCGCATCATCTTCTTGAACTCGTCCGGGTTGTACGTGTCCGCGGCCGTGCCCCGATGGCGATCCATGTGTTCCCTGCATCAAACCCGTTCCACGATTGTGAGCCTCTGTACGAACGCGGTAAACTCGGACATTCGCGTTCACTGAGTACGTATACTTACGCGATGAACCGCTTGTACTGGTCGCGGACTTGAACGCGGACCCAGATGCGACACTCCGCAAAGTCGCGCAGGAGATTCAGAACCGGCTTCCTGAAGATGGCCCCGTCCAGCTTGATGAGCATGTTCAGAGCCTTGAGACGCCCCATCAGCATTGCAGGGGAGCACTGGCGTCTCTTCTTCAGGGTCTTGTCGGGCCGCTTGAGTGTGGCCATCCTGTCCGCCTGGGCGACCGTCTCGTTCGCGAGGAAGGTCACGTATTTGCGTAACCTCCACGGATTCGTCTCAGGGCCGTGGAACCACTGCTCGTCGCCCTTCGCCATCTTCCAGTCAGCACCCATGTCCTGCTCGAGCGCGGCCCCGATCTCGTCGGGGTTCGCGTTTTCCAACGCGGCCTCCTCACCGAACCTATTCGCGTCCAGCTTCGGTAGCTCGTGCGCCATGAAGAGCTTGTACTCTCTTGCCCAACCGCGATATTTCTTCAGCGTGGCTTCAGAGACACCGTAGAGGATGCCCATGCACACCTCTTTTTTCGCGGCCGGCGTGTCGTCCACACCAAGCCGGTTCCAATCCGCGATGGGAACCTCCAAATCCGTTCGCGTACCCCGCACTCGTTCGTTGTCTTCCTCCTCCCCCTCGTTGAGCGCGGACAACGAGTTAGAGAGGTAGTTTTCGTCATCTTCATTCCAACTATCTTCCTCATCTTCAGCGTCCTCCTCGTCATCCTCATCGCTTTCCCCCTCGTTACCCTCTCGCGATCCGAGGCGTGCCGTGTGAGGCGCGACTTCGACTCGCCGCCTCCTTACTTGCGGTCTACTGACTGGGACGTTCCCGGTACCTCCGCTCGCGTTACCACCGGTTTCTCTGCCTCCGTTGCCTAGCACCCCAGGCGCGCTCCGCCCGTTCGCACTACCTCCGTTCCGTCCCACACCGGTCCCACGTCCCGCGTTCGCTCTCCCACCCCTTCCTCTAGCACCTCTCGCACTCTCACCTGTCCCTCTTCCCGCGTTCCCTCTCGCAGCTGCACCTCTTCCTCTTCCCGCGTTACCCCTTGCACCAGTCCCTCTTCCGCTTCCCGCGTTACCACCAGCAGGCGCTCCTCGTACCGCGTTCCGCGCGTTCGCCTGTGGTTGTTCACCTTCACAGTTCTCGTCCGCTGCGGTCGGTTGCGCGGGGGTGCGGATGTGGACGTCCGGGTTTCCCGGCAACAGCGAGTTCACGTTCCAAATTGGCGGCGAATGTGCACGCGCGCTGGCATTCATCCCCGCACCAACATTCTCCGCACGCACTGAACCATCGGGAACCGCGACCGTCAAAGGGCCGTCTGCACGCGCAGGGGTGTCCATTCCCATCTGTAATGGTTCTATGCGGTCACGCGGGGCTTGCACTGGTGCCTGGATTTCCGGTTGAATCGCGCTGGTTGACGGCGCGACCGGAGGCGTCGCGACAGCTTCGGGCGCGTTCAGCATGGGGTCCGGTTGAACGCCGATGTACCCGTACCTGAATCCCACATTCCCGTACTGCGGCCCTACGAAGCCACGCACGGGCATCCCAAAGAGCTGGCTTGAGGGCATGGACGCGTACGCGGTCTGGTGTTCAGCAAGCCTTTGTCCGGGATGCGGCGTGGATACTCCACGCGAGTTCAAATCATCCTGCTGGGCATGGAACGCGACCGTCGCCGATGCAAACGGTATCTGTGTCCGCGGTGCTATGTGGATCCCGTTGACCAGTTGCTGTGGGTGAAACGCGGGCAAACGCGTGCCAAAAACCACAGGCTGCACGTGTGGGGTGCTCCATGTGGGGATGTGCGCGTGCATGTTGGCCACGGGAGCGCTTGGCGGATCTGCATTATGGATTTCGGCCGCGGAAGGATTAGCCGAAGCATTGACGGAGGCTTCAAGGATTGGCGCCGCGACGCAATTCACGGTATGCATGCAGCGTGCGACATTGCCCCTACTCCTATAAACCGCGTGCGTCAACATGACGCGCGATCGCTAATGTGACAACCGGGTGTGAAGTGTACTTTGTACAACGCGACCGTGGTGCTCACAGGCTCTCGAACGCGGCCCACATCGCTAACGCGGCACTAGTGTCCCGTTTCCCGTCAGGTCAGGTGACTCCAGTGTGGCATGAGAGGGAGGAGCCTGTGGTGCAACTGGCGTGCGGAAAGCGAAAATGTGGGCATGCTGGGAGTAATGACCGGCCACCGCGTGGACGTGCATGACACGTTACTGCGATCGCGGCTCGACCTAACAGCGACAGCTGTGTGGCTCGTTCAATGTGCTGCACGTGTCAGTCAGCATGGAGCCTACCAGATCGCGCCAGGTGTTTCCGAACCGG